AAATTCCTCACTTAAACCATCTACTCAGTGTGTAAAGGCAGCTAAACGCGCGGCAGAGGTGCTGTCTGCGATTAGGCGGGGATTCGTCAACATCAACAAGGCGCTCTTCAAGAAAACCTACTGAACGTTTGTTCGGTCCCACTTGGAGTATGCTGTCCAGGCCTGGCGTCCGTGGTTCGAGATGGTGGGGCCCCAGACAGGACCAGGCGGGGCAATCCGGGGCCTAGGGTTAACTAAATTTATTGTAAAAATTTCTCGAAATATATTTGTTGTCAAAAAAAGTATCAATACCTATTAATTTGCATCTTCTTCTTTGATGACCCGATGAAATTGGGGGTTGAACCGGGAAAACGGGGGGTGCACGCCGCTAAAATATTTTCCGTAGGTGAGGATTAACGGGTTGATTTAGCTCCGTGTAATTCAGTCCACGTGCCACTGAATTAGACGGGGCCAACTTCAACCCGTTAAGCCCCACATGCGGAAAATATTTTTGCAGCGTGCGCGCCCCCGTCTTCCTGTTTGAAACCCCGACTTCATTGTCTTTTTAAAAAAGAAGATGCAAATTAATGGTTATTGATACTGTCTTGACAACAAAAAGATTTCGAGAAATTTTTACAATAAATTAAGTTCACCCTTCTCTCCGGATTGCCCCGTCTAGCCCCGGCTAGTTACATGGGGCCAGGCGGGGCTGGTGCTGACAGGGAGATTTGCAAAATATTTTAAAATATTAATCTGCTTTTTTTCCGGACAATAATTCGTTATCCCATACTTTGACGTAGCTCAATTTTGTGAACGCGAAACCCATTGTCTGTTCTCTGAATATATTTAATTAAAAAGCTTCTGATTTTTGCTGATATTATTTTATAACACAACACACAATAAGGTTTGCCGTTCCACCGATCGCGTGTTTTTCCTCTTTATAACAGAACTCTAAGTTTGCATCTTGCTTACATTTTTGTTGTGGGAAATGACCTTCTGTTTTTTCTAGTAGCAAAAGGGTTCTCAGAAATAGGCAAATTTAACTTTAAAAGAAATTTAGACACAATATTTTAGTGCGTGTACGTTTTAATGCACCGAAACTTTGCTCGAGGAATAAAATAGTTGTCCGTTTAACGTGTTTGTTAAAGAGGATTGCTATTTATTGCCACACCTAGCGTAATTTGACAAACTACCCGTAGCATGTGTCTTTCTTACTGTAGCTTGTCAGAAAATGGGTGCTCGTGCAGGCCATAGTGTTATTATTTGGCGATTATGAAATCGACTTAACGCGTTTATTTGTAATCCTTCGTCAGTTTGGCGACGAGCATTGCAATTTGGTGCATTTTTTAGCCCATCTTCCAGGAGAGCTACAGTGGGCACTACTGCATTCCGTCTAAGCCCTCTTGCCTACCATATTATGTTTTTACTGGTGGTTGTTATGACTGCCATTTTCATTAGCTTCATATTATAGCGTACCATGAGTGTTTGACCGTCTGTCTATAGTCAACAAGGATCCTCTTTTGTGGCTTTCATTGATTACCACCGAGACTTGGGTTCCTCGGAGGGATGCGGCCTCCATTACTCCTTCAGGCTGAGAAAGGGAGGGCACGAATATTATTTTCTTGTGTCATTCTCGCACAAGCTTTAGTGTGCCTGCGAGATTTTGTCGCGATAGGCTTGCGGTTCTGTATTAGATTATTAGAGGCCCTATAGGGAAGTTCGACGCCAGTAATAGCCACTTAACAGGACGAGAATATAGGTTGCAGTGCACCAAAAGGGATTTTAACATTTTAAGAGTTGAAGATGTTCATGGCCCGGTAAACCATCTAAGCAAAAATCCAGTAAGACCGATAGCTGACCTCGAAAATAGTAACTTAATATTGAATCGGGCGCCGAACATGTTATTGCATGCCTATGGCGAGAGTGGTGGTTATCATGGTTATCTTAGTACAAAGTTTGCAAATTGCCGGTTATTTTAACGTACTATGAAAAAAAATGTAACTCTCAGAACTGTCTGTGTCTTCAGAGGCCTGAAAATTACTTTCGTTTAT